CTGGAGTTGCCTCACTTCCAGTCCAGTACCACTTCCTTGCCTTGTTAAAGTAACTTATTTTTTAGTAAAATATAATTATACTCATTCTAAGCTTAACGACCATTAGTATTGATTTTATAACTGGGTCGGCTTTCTTGAGCTCTTACGACTTGATTTTGAAGGCTGTATGACGAAAGTTATAAAAGACGGATTTGCTTATCTGCATTCCGATACATGAGCTGTAAACTTGAGCATCTTTAAACGTAGATGCGAAGACCAAGATGTCGTGGCCTCTATTTTTGGTCGTAGTCTCCTTTCGATATATACTGGATATTTTAACTCGTTTTTGCAACTTGGTCATATTGACAGGAAGTCCTAGAGGAACGCGCCTTGTCCAGAGTCCATAGTATCCATGGTAATCTCCAGTCGTACCATGGAATTGGTACATTCCCAGACTTTTCACCAGCATCGTAGTCTGATGCTGCCGACTGCGATGCCGACAAAATTTCCATGCTCCGACTAGAAATAGGCATACTCTGGACTGCCAACAAGGTTCGTTCATCTAGGACTCTGCTAATATGACCAAGTTGCGAAAACAAGGTCAAATGACTATTGCGCATCTGTAATCAAAAGTTGGTTTGATTTCATTTCGCCACTTGATCATAGTTTGCTCGAGGCCTCTAAGACTATACCCCTTATTACATGTTCTGCCATCGTGATCATGATTCTACCAAGTCATCGGCCTAACTGGAGACAATTATGACTGGCAGTGGATTAAGTAAGAGGTACATTCTTCAAGGTCTCCTTGACGCCATTGACCATTTAACTACAACGAGGCTAGATCAATTCTTACACATCTTTAGTTTATCTTTGCGTAAATCTTCGGTGGTTAACTTTCTTAACTTGTCGTGGTTTTGTCCTATTTGCATTACCTTCACACCTAGAGGCCGTTTGTCCCCCACGCCTAAAAACAGTGCTTAATGAAACGAGTTCTAAGCTGTCTGACTTATGACCAGCTTCAACTCGCTACTGTGTTCTATCCTTTGCTTTTAAAGGCGCGCAAGAGTTACTGTGCTCATCTTGTCTCTAGCTGTCGATACAATTTGGAGCTCAATACAACCAAAGACGATACCACAGAAGCAAAGTCGTTCATATCTCCCAAGTCAAAGGGATCCGGAATGTTCAAACTACATAACATCATAAGATTACTATCGCTTGAGAACTTCAATGAATATTGTACGAGATTAGCGTCGATTTAGCAAATCCCATTCTACAGTTGAAAGCTTAGAGTTATCATTTAACCTTTATCCCGAAGTTTAAAGTTTATTATCCTGGACTGATGATTCACATAACCTAATATTTGTTTACAAAACAACAGGCCTCCAGTCTTCCTATCGAGTAGAAATCCTCATGACGTTTTAATTTTACCCCAAACAACTTTATCTTATTTCGTATTGTCTTATTCATTGGTTGGGTTCGGAAATGACTTCCGAAGTCATTACAAATCTATTGCTTCATAATAATTTGACTCACTTTGAATATATTTGAAGGAAAGTGGTATTGCCTTATATTTCATTTGGCTACACACCTCCCTTTTCTCTATTATTCGTCTTACCTTACTTATTTTTATTTATGCTGTTGACCTCCTCGGCCCTGTAACCTCTGTCCGATTGATTATATACCACCTTCACTCGTTTGATCGATATATTTTTTTAATTTTACAAGGTGATTTTCTAACTAATATCTTCATACACTTCTTATCTTTCTTGATTTTTTTCTCAGATGTCGAGGCGAAGGCCGTATATTCGCTAGCGAAATGGTTACTTTAATGCGAACAATAGACCTGCCCCTAGGCCTCACAAAACCGTGTTCTTTCGTTGATCTTCCAGCGAATATTGAAGTCAGTTTCATTATTTTGTTTGGTTTATAAACCTAGACCATAATTAACTGCACTAGTAAAGAAGTGTTTTATGTGTCCCTAAAGTAGGTTTAGATATATTAAATTAGATGGGTTTATTTCATCAATCAGGCCTGAGGATGGCAATCGAGAGTGCAAACAAAAAATGCAAAGTGGTGGATGGGCTTGGTGTGGCAGAACACTTATGCATCGATATCGTTAGGTTGGATGGAATTTATTCACTACACTCTGATAGATAATCTTATTACGGTCAATTAAGATTGATTTTGCTACATAATTTCACATTTAATTATCCAAAAAGTAGCCTCGCTTTTTTGAGTTATTGTTACTGTCACTGATGCTTTACATTGCTTCCATAAATCCATATATTTTTTAAGTAGCATAGCATTTTGCCCAAATTAAAACGTTGCTAATTGATCATTATGCACTTCCTGATCACTTCTTCGTTCGCTCCAGATTGTGCCAATCCGTGATGATTTTACTATCATCGTTGATATCTACTGCATGACCGTGGGTTGTTCTGGCATGCCCACACTATCATCTTCAGGGTCTGCGTCCATTTTCCCATCCGGACACGCATCACTTGGCGGGGCTGGAGATAGCAACTCCCAGGAAACTGTCTCCCCCACCCATGCATTTACCGCATGTCTGCCTCGTAGCTCTCGTAAGCAGACTCGCGATCGGTTACCTCCTGCAGCCTCAACAGGCCAGGCACTTGGTACACCGATTCGCATAACTCGGTCTAATCGCCTACTCCAACACCTGCCGTATGAGCTGCTCTCAAGCGCCTCTTCACGCCGGAAGAAACCGCGCCCCCAAAATATATCCGAGGCATCGACTGGCAAAAGTGAGATGGATTTTGGGGAATCGACCGCATACTCAACTTCTTCGGACTATTCTGTTTATTTGGCCTCTCCAGGTCCCTGCAACAATGGCGGTGGACAAGATTGCTCTACTAAATCAGGGCTATCAGGTAACGACATGCTAAACAGATGCATTGTTTTGAATGTGAGGTCGGTGATCCGTGTGCAAATACTACATTAGCTTAAGACGAACATAATATTTATGCTTTTCCCATCACCCCATATCTCTTTTCATGGCTTTTTGTTAGCTGAAAGTGCAAATGCTAGGATTCTTATTTCGATCACACCAGTAACTAACACTTCGTCTGCTGTATTTTCCTTACATAGGAGCATTTTCTTTGATTTTTTCCTCAGGCTGTCGTCCTTCGGATTTGGCGAAAATATGCCTGTATCTTGTTTATAAAGTGGGGACCTCATCAGATATGAACATAAATTCTCCGTTGATTTCTCACTTCTTATTTAAGCCGGATACAAGCCTGGTATGTTATTCGAAGCAGGGTTTATGTTTGTTTATATCAACTTTAATTTGTTAGGAAAGAAAGTTACATTCATACTGGGATAGTGACATTTTAAATACATTTAAATCAAGGATTGCCGACACTTTGAATGCATATCACTTTGAATCATTTTTACAATGAGTTGTGTACATCCCAGCACTGATAGCTGAATTTTCCATGTTATAAATAGGTTTAACGACGCCTTTAACTTCATTTAGCCTGCCTCATATAAGGTACCCTAATCTAGAATGGACCACAGTTTCGACCTCAGATCTCTTCAGCATCCTTTGTGAGAATCGGACCCTGGAAATACAGCGAATATTTTTGACATTTTGTCGCGACTGCGGTGTAGTGAGGTAGTAGTGTCGAGATTTTACCTTGCTCTGCCCAGATTTAGGCGAGGTCAAAAGTAAAGTTCACTACGAACAAGAATATATTTTGGAAGGCAATGATAAGTGACAATACTCGCGAAACGTTTGAGAATGTACCAAATTAATGGTCCGATGCTGGAAATCACGAATCTTATGAAAGAGGACGCAGAACGAGATACGTCCAATAAGGTCTCCCTGACGCTCCGAGCAAGTTGCGAAATCGAGATCACATTATAAAGCTAAAGGAGGCTGCGACCAAACATAAGGTCAAATCATCTTGGTCTTTATATGTAAGATCTAATTACGGTAGAAAGATTGCAAGACACTCCATTGATTATAGGTGATCAAGAAAACACTCGAAGTCAATCTTGTAACTTGATCTTTCTTTATTATAGTAAACATTATGGCATACCTCATACTTTTTGCGATTTAATGAAAAAATATCATTCCGAAGAGGCTAATGATCATATGTTAGATTAAGTTTCTTTGAAAAAATTATATGAGACATATGATATGGAGGGAGGTAAATTAGATATTAAATCTAGACTCAGGCATAATTTGAGTCAGATTCTCACCCCGGAGGATTTCCTGAAACTATATATGACAGATAGCATTATCTAAAATGATCTCGGACTTACTTGAAAAAAGACGTTAGAAGCTGAATAAATATGGTACATATAGGCAACCTAAGGTCCGATTACTTTATCCACAACTCAGAATCGGTGGGTCTTAGGCTTCTTATAAACATACTCCTAAGTATCCCAATCTTCATTTCAAAAGTATGGTGAGAATGGAGGTTAAGGATTATTTATGCATATGATTTCTTTATGAATAGCCGTTTCTTGACAGTCTTTTCGGAGCAAATGACCTCCACATCCATCGTAAATTTCACTTTTTTCTTCATGTCGTTTAAGAGGATCAGGAAATCTAATTTTTTTTGTGACCAGAGTACGAAGTATACGACCAAATATCGCATAATTACTTTTAGATGCTGAAGTGATTTGTTTAAATTCTCCTCCAACTGATGTAAACATGCTAGCAGAGGTGAGAATAGTGAGCCCATAGGCAGACCAAATATTCGTATATAGATTATGCCTTCGAACGTGAAATAGGTCGTTCTTACTGTTAGGCTGATTACTCGAGTTAGGAATTCTTTTATGATTCGCTTCATCTCCAGAATGTTGTCTCCTCTTTCCAAGACCTCCACTAGTGTCCTAAGCATATTTTTTCCCAAGATGTTGGTGTACATGTAATGTACATCAAGGCTCACCAATAGTTTGTTTCCCTCACAACTGGTGTATTTGATTCTGGTAAGATTCCTACGAATTCTTTACTATATTCGATAATCTCTTATTCATCTTCTTTAACATGAGGTAGATCAATTTCATCAATTATGCGTTGCTCCGTGTTTGCTGTTGACTATCACTCAATAGTATTCCTCATCCTTGCATTCTTTTGGAGAACCGTATGCTACTGGGGCTTTTGCATCCCTTAGTATCAGTGGTTCATTGTTCATTTGTCAATTTACCCATTCATATTCCTTTACTTTAGCATTTTTTCTAGCATCCCTTAATTTTAACTGTTGCGTTTTGTTGATAGATTAATTGTTCTGTCACCGGGAGTATTTTAGATTTTATCTATATATTTCTTCCTGTCCACTATTGTGGTACCTTTGTCAGCTATTAGAACTATTTGACTTTCTTTTCAATGCTCTATGTATCTTTGCAATATTGTCCCTGTGTGATTTTTTGCTGCGCAAATATTGTTGGGATGATTTCATTTTCAGCTCTGATTTTTCAGGTAGCTTCTCATGGGTACTTATAATCTTCAGTAAAATTTCCTTGATTGCCTTCCTTTCGTAAGGAACTACAAAATTTAGTCTCTTTTTGAGGATTGCTGTGGATTCGAGGACAAGAAGGATAGAAGACAGACTCACTACTTAATCTTCTTCTCTTGTCTCCATTGTGAGATTCATAACTCTAGACACATATTCATTTTTGTCCAGTTTTTAGACCTTGGGCTGCCTATAGATCCCATATTTATTCAGTTTTGGTGCCTTTTTTCCATATTTCGTCT